ATGCCGCCCAAATGTGCACGCAAAGAAAGAAGGCGTGGTTTCAGGAACAGCAGTAGTGTTGATGCAGCCATGTCAGGGAGACTGTGTTTCAGTGCGAAATCAAAGCACTTTATTTGGCCTTCCGGAAGTAGATGCATTTATTTTGTTGTTGCTTGTTTCCATAGTGTTGTGCCAATTTTGTTGTGTTGCAGCTTGTGTGTTGTGGCTTGTTTCTGTTGTGTTGTGCTAATTTGGTTGTGTTGTGGCTTGCTTCCGTTGTGTTGTGCTAATTCTGTTGTGTTGTGGCTTGTTTTCATTTTGTTGTGGCTTGTTTCCGTTGTGTTGTGCTAATTTTGGTGTGTTGCGACTTGTTTCCATTGTGTTGTGCAAATTTCGTGGTGTTGTGGCTTGTTAACGTTGTGTTGCGGCTTGTTTCCATTGTGTTGTGGAGATTTCGTTGTGTAAATAACTGTTGCTGTTTCCGTGTTGGCCAAAATAAATAATAAGAAATAACAGATTTTTAAATATTATTAGTATATTTTTTTATTTAATTAAATTAAATGTAAAAGTTGAAATGCAAATTTAAAATTATGTAAACTCAAATTTAATTAATAAATGTGTTGTTGGCCAGTAAAATCTGAACTACCAGCAAAATAAAAAAAAATCTTACTGCTGAACCTTGGTGCTCTCCATATGTGATAAGATCACTTCAGTCGGATATTCATATCAGTGATAAATAGGTCCACAGTATGTAGAGTCAATCAAGTATGACTGATTTTTAATCATTATTTAATCTTATCAACCCATTACGCAATACGTTTTCTGCCACAGTGCTCTATTGAGATAAGACAGGAAATAGCGTGTACGATGACTTGAGTATTTTTAGTAAGCTCACAGTACACACAGTAATGTCAGACTCCATGAAAAGCCCCATCACCCTTGCCATATAGATAAGAGCATGTGAGTGCTCTCGATAGAGATGCCATGAGCTGACTTTATTGGTATTTAGTGAAGGAAGCTCCTATAAGCACCGTCAAGCAAACAAGCCCCTCAGCCAACATTTCCTGAAGACCACTAACAGCTGTTGCTAAGCAACTTGAGCATCTGCAGCAGGGCCAATCCTGGTAAAATACACAGGCACTTCAACGGCTCACTAAAACGTGCAAATAAAACAAACATCTGAAAAATAGCATCACTACAATAACTTTTTTGCGCACATGTTGATGTTTACATTTAGCTAATTCATGTCATTGATTTGAAATGACTAATGAAGTTTACGAATTTGTAATTTTTGTCTCATTTGCAGCTATATATATATATATATATACACACACACACACACACACACACAGTATACATCTATTCCATTGCGTCTATGTTCTCACCAGGAGAGTGAAACCAACATGTGTGCTTATGTCTGCTCATATTTTGTCTCATTTTCAGCTATATATATATATATATACACACACACACACACACACACACAGTATACATCTATTCCATTGCGTCTATGTTCTCACCAGGAGAGTGAAACCAACATGTGTGCTTATGTCTGCTCATATGCCTGAGTGCGCTTTCTTTTTATAAACTAGAGAAGTGAAACATAAAGGAAGTCTGACTGCCGTCTCATTGTGCTGTTTATATCTATCAGAAAATTTCAAAATGAGTAAAAGGTTGTGAAAGGTTGTCAGATGTCAACAGAATAGTAAATGACAGTCTTATCACATGTACATACAACTCCTGCCTGTCATCAAAGCTTTGGAAATAAATGCTCACACATCTTTTTATCAGTAGTGATCTTTCTGATGATACAAAAAAGTAATGCTCAAAGAGACAAGCAGTGACCTGCAAGATCTTAAATTTCAAATGGGTTTCTTAAAGGAGTGTCTCATTTTACCCAACACCCTAGAAAAAGACAGTCCTGCAATTCTCTGGGATTTGCTTATTCACAGATAAAATGAACCATTTTATATTAACCACTAATCATTATATGGTTGTCCAGATCACTACACCTGCCTCATAAACTACCATTCAAAAGTTTGAGGTCAGTAAGATTTTTTCCCAGTTTTCACAAAAATATTAGGCAGCAACTGTTTTCAACATTCATAATAATAATAAATATTTCTCGGCAACCAAATCAGCATATTAAAATTATTTCTGAAGGATCATGTGACACTGAAGACTGGAGTGATAGCTACTGAAAATTCAGCTTTGCCATCACAGGAATAAATTGCATGACATATAATAACAAATAAAAAAAAACCTGAGATGTCTCTTAAAAGGCAACACTGGACAATTTCACAAGATTTGGGACCCTTTCTTCTATTACCTCAGTAGGAATTCTATTCCTTAATGTAATGTATTGTAACTTAAATGTTGTGTGTTTATGTCACTGTATTGTATATTAACAGGCTGGGTAAGGGGTGTTAAATTTAATGGATCTTTTTTTTTTTAGTTTACTTATTTTGTGCATATAAGAAAATTAATCCTGGAACTTGTTTATTTCAAGGTTATTCATGACTGAATAAAACTTATTTGACCAAAAAAGGCCATTTAAAAAAATAAACAAATTAAAAAGTCTTTAAAAAGAATACTTAAAGTACATTAAAAACAAATTTATTACAACTTTATGCTTATAAAAAGGGTAATTTCTTTTGAATACAGCATGGTATTGTCATTTATCACTTTGGCACGAAAGAGGAAATTCAAAAAGAGGATATAACAAATTCAGACTGTAAATACAATGCTCTAAGAAGAAGTCACCGTGTTCATGTTTAAGGATGTAACAATTTGAAAAGATATTCGGTCAACAAAATTCGGTTTGAAAGCTACATTAAGCCCCGTAGGACAGTTTATTTCACATAAAACAAAGGCATGTCAATACCTCGCCTCGAATGTCTTCTCATTAGCTCTCATGGCAGGAGTCTAATGCATTTAACAGGTTCTGCCTTTTCTAGGAACTTTGCTTTGTTCTTAATGAAGAGCCATAAGAACGTTAGAGAGAAACCTAGGTGTTTCTGGAGCGAAACGCTGGGCTTTGTGGCGTCTGTCATCATTTCTTACACTGAGAAAATGGAGAGCCACATTTTGAGTGTCTATCTTTAGGAAGGGCCTAATAATGAAACTCTTGAGCTATGAGATGTGACACATTTGCCACCCGAATGTGTCACCTGATGGAGGGAAGACAGAAAAAGAGAAAGAGCGAACGGAGAGAAGAGGAGAGTGTTCTGAGGGGGTTTAAGGGGAGTGAGGCTAAGAGGCTGCTGTCATGCTCTAGTTGGCCTGTTGAAAGATGGTTGAGACATGTTTAAGAGGGTGGAGGAGTGGGGGTTTGTGCTGGGATTCTCCTTCGCTGAGCAGCAGCTCTGAGCCTGGACAGACACAGCAGTGGTAACAGGGCTGACTCACTCAGCCCACACACAGGAGAACGCTTATTCACCCAGAGAGGAATATTAACAGTATCACAGCCTCATCTCAATGCCGCCAGACCTGTTGCAAGCACTCAGAAGCATGCAGAATGAACGTGTGTGAAAACTGTAAAAATCATTAATCAGATGCATATTCAGACAGCCTATGCACACATATGAGAGACACATGTGCATCCATCCTACTAAAGTGCTGAATCTGAAAGGGCTGCAGCAATACAATCGGATGCCGCAAATTTGGCTTAAAGTCTCTATTAGCACTTTATTTCACTTAATTTATCTATTAACAACGTTCAATAGTGTATATAATATTCAAAGGTTTGAGGTCATTTTTATTTTTTGAAAGGAATGAATACTTTTATTTAGCAAGGACGCATTAAAATTATCAAAGGTGACAGTCAAGACATTTATAATGTTATAAAAGATTTCTATTTCAAATACATTTTATTATTTGGGACTTGAATTCTTTAATTAAAAAAGTTGAACAGTTTCCAGAAATCAGCATAACCATTTTCAAAATTGATAATAATATCAAGGCATAATATCAAGAAACAGCTCAAGAAGCACATAAGAGTGATTTCTGAAGGACTCTGAAGACTAGGATTAATGGCTGCTGAAATTTTTGCTTTGTCACACAGGAAAAAATGAATTAAAAAAAATATATATATTAAAATAGAAAACAGTTATTTTAAATATCAATAATATTTCACAATATTACTGTTTATACTGTATTTTTGATTAAATAAATGCAGCCTAGGTGAGCATAAGAGACTTCTTTTAAAAAGACCATAAACTTTTGAACGGAAGTGTACTTTTTTTTCAGAGAGCAATGGAAAAAGCACATGTAAAATGCTGAACTGTATTTAATAGCATTCTGTGATGGAAATGTAATTAGTTTTTTTTTTAATAAAATGGTCTTTGTACAGATCTTTTTATGGCTAATTGTGTACATCAACGTTTATGTAAATAATTAATTAAACAAAAAAAAAAAATTTTTTTTAATGGATTTATAAAAAAAAAAACCTGGGATGTAATGGCTGAAAAATTCACCCAATTATTTTTCTCATGATAGTACATCAACAGTCATCAATGATTTACTTTACTGACCTAGAGATGCCCTCATCCTGACTCTCAGCCAAGTTAACGATTATTATTATGTTATATAACGCTCATAAAGCAGAAAATGTTCCACATTTAGAAATAGGAAATAGTATAAAATAATTGTAGGTTTCGAACAAAAAAAAAGATGTTTACATATCTTTCCACAGACGCCCTGCAGGACCTCCATGGACCCTAGGGCTTAAAAACCCTGGCTTTGGATCCTTAAATCGATATTTTACTTCTCTGAGGCACTGTAGTGGACATCAGTGAAGTGAGCCACATGAAACTTATCCAACAGATTCACCCGCTCACATTTGACACGCTGAGGGTCTCTCTTCTGTCCAGCCCAGTTTCAATCACAATCCCATTATTATATTGCAATGGTGCACTGATATTGAATCGCATATTGCAATGCAACACCTAGCCATAACACAATTGTTTACCACAGTTAAACAGCACATAAGTAGACCGACACATACAACAGAGACAGCTTACCAAACTGTGTGTCCTATAAAAAGCTTAGCTGGGACATGCGTGGATTCCCTCCCCCTGTAACATAAGAAAAAATATTCACGTCACTGAGTCACAAATTAAATATTCTCCTCTTTTTTTAGAGTCAGCAGGAAAGCGCTCTTAGACAGGGGTAATTTGTCTTCTCCTCAAGGGTATTCATGAAAAGGACTGGAAGGTGCGTGCAAGTGTCAACAGTAAAACTTTTGAGCTGAAGTATTGTATGTGAGAGAGATGCTGTTCTGAGAGCCAGAAGCATCCGTTGTTCCTATCACTGATGCTGATGTGGACTGCTCTGACCAGCGACACCCACTCTCCCCTGCTGCCGTGACAACAGAGCTCAGGATGAATGGTGGCATCAGTTGTAATAGAAAAACATTAGGCAAGGCTCAAGTCCAAGAATGACATACCGTACACACACATATTTATAAATGATATGAAAGTCAGTTTCTGCCTCAGGCTACAAAATAAAATATATTAACTTTGAGAATAAAACGTTTATAATGACGAAAATTTAAATCACACTTTTAATAAATACATTTCAATTGTATGAGTTTGTATGATTTGACAAAAAATGTAAGTTTGTATTGTAAAATTTGAAGGGCCAGTTTTACTAACAGCTTGCGCCAGCGCAAACCATCTTTTGGCGTTAAAATAATACAGTCATGATTCACTAAAGACACGCAGTGACGAATAAGTGCTGAAAAGGTGTGGACAGTTATTTTGCGCCTGACCTTATTGAATATGCATTAGGAGTAGGGTTGGCTATCGTTTTTTTTTTTTTTCGATACCGGTGCCAAATCGTTACTTTTAAAACGGTTCCGGTGCCTAAACGGTGCCTGAACCGATACTTATTAAAAAAAATAAAATTAAATAAATAAATAATAATTTCCCAAAACATTATGGATTGGCCATTAGCACTATAAACACATGATGTCTGTTTCATTCATACTGGATGCCAGAGGGCGCCCTCGCACAGAAAATCCACATATCCAGTCACAGAAATAGGAACTCATGACCCTCCAAGATGTATTCTTTTTAAAGTAGCCTATGGAACATATTTTCTGCCTCATTCTGTGACAAGAAGCCACATCAGATCACAAAAGGAAGCATTTGACTGGTGCTCTCTCGTTGGACAGCAGGTTTAGAAGGGAGGTTTAGCTTTAGGCATTGTAATTTAAGCATGTATAGCTTAGTTAACGGAAAGCTACCTGCTGCCATCAGCGCAAGTGTACTTACTGCATTCACACGCTCCTTGGATGCTCTCATTTCCAGAGTTGTGCTTTTAAGTCGGAATGTGAAAACAACATGGACACTCGCGTTACTACAAAGATTTGTTGGATTTTATTATTAGAGCTTTCCGACTTGAGTTCACATGCATTTTCTCAGTTGGGAAATTATTTTTCATGTGCGGTGCTGGTGATGATGCTTCTTACGTCCGTTTTGAAGAACCAGAGGACAAATATTTCAATCGATCGCTCAGGCATGGCACCGAAATGAGGCACCGAAATCTGTGTTCTGATTCGGTTCTAGTACATACCGGTTACATAGGTACTGGTGCCATATTGGTACCGGGTTTCGGTACCCAACCCTAATTAGGAGTTTAATTTCAGACGCAAAATTTATGGGAGGAGAGTATTCAAATGAATCATACAACGCGATTTACTAACATTTGCGCTCGTCAAATTACTGGTATTTGCGCTATTATTTAACTTAATAATTTAATATTTTGAATTTGCTTCAGGAAATATAAGACGACTTGGAACCCTCAACTAGGAGTCAAGCAATACCAGGTCTATTAAAACTTCTTGCAACCCTTCAATCCTTTTCAACGTACTGTGGCTTCTTTATTTCTTTATTTGCGACTACGCTAATTTGTGCTGCGCTTGGTAGGCTATTAAGTTGGTCGATATGTAAATTAGAAGTTGCATTGTGTTCTTTAATTTATGCGTTGTTAGTAAATCATCCGCAGATATTTCCACGCCCATCGGCACTGTTTTGGAATTGCGCTCTCACGCTAATTTGCCCTGCTTAGTAAAACTGGCCCTAAGTCACAAATATGAGATATAAAGTCACATTAGCTACATTTATAAGCATCCAAATAATACGTTAGGACTGAAAAGGGTTTGATTCGATCAATAGGAAAAAAACTAAGCATGTAAATGCTCGAATATGATTTCCTTCTCAATCGGAATTGTGATGCAGATGTTTACCAAAGCCCTTTCAAAATAAGATTTACATGGTTGTTGGCTGTTTACATTCTTACTAAAATGCATATGTTTATTTACGTCTTACAAACTGATTAGTGAAGGAGACTAAATCTTTGCAAAAAAATAAATACATCTGACATGCAGTGACTGGATGCACTGCGTGCACTAAAGCATGCACTGAAGTTTTGTTTGAAATACATAAATGCACATGTAAACGCAAATGTGAATCAGGTTGCAACATTTAGGGTTCATATAATTAAAACTTTTAGAATCTGAAATCAGATGGAATTCATTCGCATTGACGAAAATTAGTCCATGTAAACTTACTAAACTTAACTACTGTGAGATATAAAGTTGAAATTGTGAGATATAAAGTCACAATCACATGAAATAAAAGCACAGTTACCATTGTATTTATGTATTTATTTATTTTAAACTCTGAGGCAGAAACAGGCTTTCAAACAACTTGAATTGTTTTATGTTGGGTACAACATAAAATGTTGGGTACAAATAACACCTGCTTACTCTGTGAATTGACAACTCACAAAGTGACTTTAACACGGCAACACTTAGGGAAGATAGGAATATGCATAATTTAGATACAATTTTGGATCAAAATAACAATCCTAGACTCGTGTGAAGCAAAACCATTTCCCACAAGGGGGAAGTAAAGGAATTCATATTTCATAGCCCGGCACTCTCAGTATAGAAGAAGGGAGAGTCGATCACAAATCTTGTGCTCTGAGTATTAGAGCACACACAAGCATAGCTAGTTATGTTTTATTAAATGCTCTCTTCCAGAGCTACCGCACCTATGAGATGCCAGTGCTTAATATTTTAGTGCCAGACATTGGAATTCTGACTGAAGAAGGGGAGATGTGTGGATCCTGTCTTCGCAAAGTCCAATCGGAATGATTTATGAGCGGTTTGGTCATTGGCATCCCAGTCAGCTGCAGGGAGGGTTTCCACCGCAGTGTCTGTTCTTATAGTTTGGGATGGCGACAAATTCTTTGCACAGGAAAAGTGGCAATTTCTGTCATACCCTAAAGGTCTGTTCACACCATGTCTGATGGAACAACATAACACAGATTTTTCACATGAATCACACCAAGTGCAATACTGGGTTTTACTTCTCTTCTTCCTTTCTGGGGATTTCTCTTAAATAATGTGTTCGGTTTTGAAAGTGAAGGCCCTCTTCCAAGTGCACACTTGGTGATGTAATGCTGCAGGGACTGTTCGGTAGGAGTCCGCTACAAAGCCGGCGTCAGTACAGATCAAACAGGACACTGATAAGCAGCCTAAAACCCAAAATGACAAATGGCGCACCCTTCGGCCTTGTGGATTTTACAGGCACTGTTTTTGCTGGAGAACTGGAAGATCAGTTATCGATAAATATAGGGTACAACGGGGCTAAAGGCCCACCTTAAGAAAAAATGTGCTATTCACAGCGCATAAAATGTATAATTGCAGAAACAATATATACGTTGTATTGAACATTAATAAAGAAACATATTTTGTGTGAAAATAAATCATTCAAGTTGTTTATTTTGTTTAAAAACCTTATAAATATATGAGGTGGCAAGAGGGTAAAAGGCTCACCAGCATGGGGTAAAAGGCACACGGTATTGATACAAATACTTTAGCTAAAATAATGTTTTTTTAAATAATGTCTAAGTTAATAATTGTTAAAAACAATCACTTTAGAAAAGTTTGTACTATTTTCTGCTTATTTTGAAAAATTAAAGAATTAATTTTTGTTCAATAAATATACTGTCATTAAAATGTTAATATAAAAAATATATTTTAAAATACAGAAAC